TGAATTGTTTAAACAATAGTGTATTTGTATGCACATAAAAATACAGTCAATCAGTTTTCAAGATCTATAAAAGAGAAAATACATTAACTTTTTTTAAAAAAATTCTAGATGGCAGCATCAGAAAATCGAAAATCAAGTACAGTGTCTTGATTCAGAGATTTAAAACCTGATAAACTGGTGCGACTTCATTTATTTTCAAGCTTGAAAACGTAGCTTATGCATGCAGTTTTCTATTATCTACAGTTAAAATACATTAAATATAGATAATTAAGCATTTATATTAATTGACTTTCAAAAGGTGAACTGGAGCCTGAGCTGCTCTAACCAAGGGGAGGGCAACTAATATTGCTGCTTTTGGTCTGGCTCCATTGGTTTTGCTCCTGTTATTGCTGTTAACCAATTTCAAAGTGGATGAAGCAGAAAGTTTATAAATAGATTATTATCTGAAAGTCCATTTTATTTTACTAGAAATAGTTTTATTACATGAGATGGGTAAAAATGTAATTTAGACCCCTGACCAGATGCTCTTAGTTTGGTAGCAGAGCATGATTTTATTTGTTAATTTGTCCTTTTAGAGTTTCTGTAGCCAGTCTTTAAATAGAGCAATTTTGCATTTGGGGGAAAATACAAACTCTGCGCTATCCAAGAATATAATTGAAAATTACCCCATACCCATGCACCATAATTACCTTTCAAAACATTTCCCATTGCTTGACATCATAGTGGTAATTGCTTAATGATATTATAATTTCATTACGTAGGGCTTGCAGTGGCAAAATGATGTAAGCTGGAGGCTTTGAAAATTAAGTTATAATGAAAACAAAACCTTTTATGCACGTTTAAAGCACTTATTACAATGTAAAATTATATAATGCCACCCAATTTTTGTACGAATGTTGTTGGTAGAATTTTAAAATTCATCCATTTAAAGCTTTAGTACTAAAACCCATAAAACCTGCCTTAATCCCATGGTTGTAATGCATGAGGCCCCAGTTCTATAGTGATCGTGTGGGAACGAATGCATTTCTATGGCAATTATTGCTTTGGTCTATATGCATTATCTAGCAGAGCCTCTACTGAGGAATTAGATCCACCCATTCCTTTGCAGTTGGGTGATAAAGACCCGTGGCTCATTACAATGGTCATTTTCATCTGGAAAGATTCCTGATGGGTTGCAACAGATATTGAATTTTCTAACTAAATAGCATCAGCTTAAAACTTGATCTTTCTTGGAAAGCACAGGCACAGAATGCACTAAACAATAAAATAGCATGTAACTCTTTGGTGCCAGAGGTCAGAATTTCTTCCTGTGTGTTAGAGTGGAAACAAGACATCAGGTACTCTATCTCTGAGATAGTTTGACTCATAATCCTTGCCCTCAGTGTTGTGTGGTTTTAACATGACAGCTGATAGAAAAATTAGTTTTCCTTTTTGAAAAATACTTGATTTTTGGTATAAGAATTGGTTTTATTTAAAGATGAATTCATCATAATGTCCTGTATAAAACTAGGTGGGGGCTTTGTGTTTCATTCAAATCGACTATTTTTTTCTTTTGATAATACAAAATCAAACAGATATAGCTTGGAGGTAGACAATAAAAGTAGAAAGGAATATACCCCATGTGTGTCTAACTCAGATATCTTATGTTTTCCATGATGATGATCATAACAACATTTATTGAGTGCTCACTGTGTGTGTGCTGTTATCTTATTTAGCTCTCATAGGTACTATAATGGGTATTATCCTTACTGTACAGGTGAGGAAACTCAGGCTCAGACTGGTGAATTTTCCCAATGTCCCAGATCTGTGAAGTGGTAGAAATGGGATTTGTCTCTGTGAAGCCTTTTCTTCATATTTTAAGTTTTATCAATGTTCCTGTTCTGAGTTACTAAAAATATCAGAGCCTATAGCTCATGATTTATTTTACTATTATCTTTAATATTAATAGTAGTGATCATTTATTAAACAAGCACTGTGTGCACTGTGCTATGCATATTATCCAGTGTCCAATTTAGCCTTCCACAAAACCCTATGGAATAAACATTGTTATTCCCATTTTATAAATGATCAGTGAGGTGAAATAACCTGTAACCAGCCTAAGGTCACGGGTAGGAAACAGCAGAGCCTCATCCATCCCCAGGTTGTTGGATCCTAGAGCCCAGGGCTGCTCTTAACCACGCTGCAGTTACAACTCCCGCTTTAACCCCTTGTTAACCTTTAGTAGCTGCTTTTTTCATGTGTGCATGTCACAGCCACAACTAGACTGTCACATCCACAGCTAGACTGTTCAGTCACAGAGCAGGCACACAGTAGCTATTTATTGATAAACTGGTTTTGTTCTGTTCTCTGAAGTAGCCCAAATATGAAAGAGATGATGGATGGAATATGTGGAAGTAAAGGACGTGTACATTCTCCTTTGATGTGCAGAAGTGACCTAAAAGGGGTCATCTTTGATATAAAACAACCACTTGAAAAGCATTCCCAGCCTCTCCTACTTAGAGGAAGCCGGTGGAGGCAGAGCCCCGGGGACCACTCTTCAGGTAACAATAGAACATAAAGGAAAGGCAACCTGCCTTCTCTGAGTTCTTAGAAACTATGCAGGGCACTCAGGTCAGCTACCGTTATTAATGCGGCCATTAGCTAAGTCCTGTCCTACTTCTAGGACATAAGCCGCTGCAGCCAATAGTCACAGAGACTCATCAAAGGCACCGCGGGGATCATTGGATCTGGTCCCCTGTCCTATGCAGGGTTCATCTACAAAATCTCACACAAATGGTTGTCCCAATTCCTGCCTCACCTTCCCTAGAGTCCACGTTCCATTTCCTGGTCAGCTGCAATGTTTGGAAATTCTTCCTTATGTTGAGCCAAAATCTATCTCCTTGAAACTTCACCCATTGACCCTATTGCTTCCCCCTGCAACCCCACAGAGTCTTCTTCATTTCTCACTCATTTCCCCCGTTTCTGGACTTGAAGCCAGAAGGTCTGACATCACTGCCATCAAGCTTTCTCTTTTCTGGATTTAATAAGCCCAGTTCCTTCAGGCTTATTGAGCTATTTGCCTCTGCTCTCCCACATGGACTCTCATCTTTGTCAGTGATTTTTAAAATATGACAAAGCAAATTTCTTTTGTTTCCAAACCTGATTTTTTTCAGTGTAGGACACCTTTACAATTTTTTACTCTTTTCCGTGTTTAAATTCCCATAATATAATGGCTCCCAACTGAATGTGTTATACCACCTTCCTAATAAAAACATCAAGCCAGTATGTTTGAAAGAGCACTGAAATGAGACGCGAGTCTGAAAACCCAAGTTCATCCCTGACTCTGCCTCTAACTCACCAAGTGACCTCAGATGAGCTATTTAACTTTGCAGACCCTGATTCCTCATCTGTAAATTGGGCACAATAATTCCTGCCCATTTCACAGGATCATGAGAGTCAAATGAGCTACTGCGGGAGAAATTGTTGTCTAAACCAGTGAGGGCTCTACCGGGGTGTTAAAAAGCAAGGCAGACATCGTCATTCCTCTATCAAACTTTATTTTTTAAGAATTGCTAGAACTACATGCAGCTCAAGAGAGTCAGCTGATTTCCTGTTTTGCCTGTCACTGCCCACTCCTTGAGATCAGGGCCTGTTTCTTATATCATCTCATTCCCAACATCTAACTCAGTGCTTGGCACCCGGAAGGATCGAGTTCAATGTTTTTGGATGATCAGAAGAAGATGGGCAGAGGAATGGCTGTGGTGCCATTTAGGACCCCACTTCGCCACCTTGGCTCCACTTCCTTGGACTTAAATCTAGTTTGTCACTGTCCTGACGGTATCCAGGCACCAGTTTGATCTGATTTTGTTTGGATAAGATGGAATGCCACCATTACCACCACCTTCCCTTACTCTGGGCAGTGACGCTTAAGATCACAGGCTTTGTTTCACAATCATTTATTCACCCTTTCAAAAAACATTCAGTATTTATTGAGCCTCTATGACATACCAGCCCTGTCCCATGCCATCACCTTCCAAAACTGACCCTGGTGAACTCGTGACCCAAATCTATGGCCCTTAGTCCCCCAGACTAGGAAATCCTGCGAGTCGGTGTAATCCCTCCTCCCTGAGCCTGCTCTGATTCTCCAGCTCAGGCGGGTCTTGCCCTTCCAGTCTCTGAACTATTACATTGGATTTTCAGAAGTACTCAGAAGCACTCACTTGCTATGATGGCGTCAAGTACCCAAGTACTTAGCACAATACTGGGCATACATATGGTACACAGGAAACATCTTCGTAAAACAATTTTTTTTCATTTCATGCCATTTGTTGGAAACCAACCAAACCTTGCTAAATAACTTAGGCAGTAGGAGTCCTCTTCATCCAAACCATGCATATGGCTGTCACACACACACAAAAGAAAACCTCAAGCCATGTTTATATTCTCAGCAAACTTGACAGACCTTCCTACCACTGATTAAATTACAGATCACCCGACATTGTGTTTTCTGTATGTGTTGTATGCTTTATGTGTCTAATATTTCTAAGCAACATTTTCTTTTAATTATGTTTATTCAGTAGCCTTTTTAGGGTGTATGAATGGGGACTGAGTTCTTTATGATGTCATTCGGTTTGCACCGTTTTGCATTTGTACAACGCTGGCCCATGAAGAAGTCTAGAACTGTGATCACTCAGTTTTGAATCTTGCTCCAGTTTCCCTAATCCTAATTAACACAACCCATTAACCCCTTGGCCCTCCCAGTCCCTGCCAGTTCTCCACACTCACTTTTCTTTATCTTTTACAGTGAAGCTGCTCTTTTGACACTGTTTCTTTTCTGGCTTACACTGCATAGTCTCATCATGGCTGCAAGGCTCCCTCTTTCAAGCTTCGACATTCTGCCCACATAACAAGTCTCCCAGAAGAGATGGTGACTCCTGCTTCCTGCCCTTCCCCTGATGTTGCAGGTTAGCAATTCTGGGCCAGGCCAGCAGCTAACATGTCTGTGGTTCCCCTTCCCACAGGTGAAGACGACCTGAGTATAGAAGAGGACGAGGAAGTGCTGACTCTGCTGTATGACCCATGTCTGAACTGTTACTTTGATCCCCAGACTGGGAAATACTACGAGTTGGCGTAATCTCTCCTTCCAGGGCAAAAGTACGGCCACTCCCAGGCCAAGCAGGACAGCAGTTCTGGCTCTGTTAAGTTGACACCACACTGTGTGTGTGTCAGGCAGGCCCACAGAATCAAAAGGAACTGAGATTAATTTTGTAAATGTTCACTGTTAAGATTTATTTTGTAAATAATGTTCACTGTTAAAAATACCTACGTTCTTTTTGTAGATGCATGTGACTTTTTGGAACTGTGAAGGAATTAATACAGAGACAAGATTTTAGGACTTGAATTGGTTCGTATTTGTTGGTTCTCATCCTACATATAATTTTGTTTATTTTATATAGTTTTATGTAAACAATTAAGAGTTAATTCAAAATTTTTGCAGTGTTAATCTGTAAATGATGGCATGGTATACAGAGCATGTATTCTTGTTTAAAAGATATCTGGGTACCTTTTATTTTACTATCTATTTGTATTAAAAATAAAGTATGATGATCAAAAAATGCCTCTTATTTTTTTAAAAGATTTTTAAAACTAAGCTCACATACAATATTATATTAGTTTCAGGGGTACACCACAGTTATTCAATATTTATAAGCCTAAAGTGATCAACATAAGTCCAACAACCATCTGACACCGCACTACACTATGACAATATTGTTGCCTATATTCCCTATGCTGTATATTACATTACCCTGACTATTTTTTTTGTTATACCTGGAAATTTGAACCTCTTATTCCCCTTCACCTTTTCCCCCCTTTTTTAATTTTTCAATTACAGTTGACATTTAACATTTTATTTTAATTTCAGGTATACAGCATAGTAGTTAGACATTTATAAAATTTAAGAAGTGATCCCCCTAGACTGGGGTACCAGTCTAGTACCCACCTGGCACTATATGTAGTTATTACCACATCATTGACTATATTCCCTATACTTTATATCCCCATGACGATTTTGTAACTACCAATTTGTACTTTTTAATCCCTTCACCTTTTTCACCCTGCCCCCCAACCTCCTCCCATCTATCAAACCAACAAATCTAGTACCCATCTGACAAATTTATTGCCATATTAATAACTATATTCCTTATGCTATACCCTACATCCCCATGACTACTTTGTATAACCAATTCATACTTCTTAATCGGTTCCCTCTTTTTCACCCACACCTCCAAGCCCCCTCCCAGGTGGCAACCATCAAAATGTTTTCTGTATCTATGAGTTATATTTCTGGGGGTTTTTTTTGTTTGTTTATTTTGTTCTTTAGATTCCACATATAAGCAAAATAACATTGCATCTGTCTTTCTCTGTCTGACATACTCCACTCAGCAAAACACTCTCCAGGTTTATCCATGCCACTGCAGATGGCAAGAACCCATTCCCTTCCCTGGCCAGGCAACTTTTCATTGTATATATGTACCGCCTCCTCTTTACCCATTGACAGACAGGCTGCCATCACAGCTTGGCCATTGTAAACAATATGCAACGAACATATGGTTACAGGTCCCCTTAAAGTAGTGTTTTGGGTTTCTTTGGTAAATACCCAGTAGTGGGGTTACTGGGTCCTTCTTTGTCTCTTCTTATAGCCTTTGTTTTAAAGTTTATTTTGTCTGGTATAAGTATTGCTAACCCAGCATTTTTTGTTTTTTGTTTTTTTGTTTGTTTCCATTTTCATGAAACAACTTTTTCCATCCCTTTACTTTCAGTCTGAGTGTGTCTTTCAATTTGAAGTCAGTCTCTTGTAGGGATCTGTAAGGGTTTTGTTTCTTCTCCATTTAGCCCTACAATATTTTTGGTTGGAACATTTAATCCATTTACATTGAAAATAGTTGTTGATAGATATGTAGCTATTGCTATTTTATTATCCATAATTTTGATCTTTTTTATTTTTCCATCTTAAAGAAGCCCCTCTAACATTCCTTTGGTTTGGTGGGGATGAACTCCTTTAGCTTTTTCTCATCTGGGAAACTCTTTATCTGTCCTTTGAGTTTAAATGTTAGCCTTGCTGGGTAGAGTACCCTTGGTTGTAGGTTCTTACTTTTCATCACATTGAATATTTTGTGCAAATCCCTTCTTGCCTGCAAAGTTTCTGTTAAGAAATCAGCTGACCATCTTATGGGAGCTCCCTTATAAGTTACTAGTTGCATTTCTCTTGCTGCTTTTAGGATTCTCTCTTTTTCTTTAACCTTTGGCATTTTAATTATGATGTGTCTTGGTGTGGGCCTGTTTGGGTTCATCTTGTTTGGGACTCTCTTCACTTCCTGGACTTGTATGTCTATTTTCTTCACCAGGTTAAGAGAGTTTTCTTTTCTTTTTTTATTTTTTTTTTTTAGCTGAGCCATCCTGCTACCTGTTGGCAGCTCAGCAGCTGCTCAGCTCGGGCTGGACTCGAACCGCTGTTGCTCAGTGCTCAAACTCTTGAGCGAGCTCTTAACCAACTGAGCCACTCGGCCGGCCCTTAAGAGAGTTTTCAATCATTATTTCTTCAAATAGGTTCTCAATCCCTTGCTGTCACTCTTCTCCTTCTGGTACTCCATGATGCAAATGTTGTTATGCTTTATGTTGTTCCAGAGGTCTCTTAGACTCGCCTCATTCTTTTGATTCTTTTTTCTTTTTGCTGTTCCTATTGGGTGTTTTATGCTACCTGTCTTCCAAATTGCTGACTCGATCTTCTGCTTCATCTAGTCTGCTGGTGATTCCTTCTAGTGCATTCTTCATTTCAGTTATTGTATTCTTCACTTCTCACTGGTTTTTTTTTTATGGTATCTATTTACTTTCTGATGCATGCTATCTCTCTGCTGAAGTTCTCACTAAGTTCCTTGAGCATCCTTATAACCATTATTTTGAACTCTTATCTCTGGTAGGTTGCTTGCTTCCATTTTGTTTAGTTCTTTTTCTGGAGTTTTCTCCAGTTCTTTTATTTGGGATGTATTTCTTTGTTTCCTCACTTTGGCTGCCTCTCTGTGTTTATTTCTGTGTATTAGGTGGATCTGCTATGTCTTCCAGTCTTGGCTAGGTGGCCTTATGTAGTAGGTGCCCTGTAGGGCCCTGGCACAGTCTCCCTGGTCACCTCAGCTGGGTGACTTTCCCTTGTGTGGGTTGTATGTGTCCTCCTGTCATAGTTGAACCTTGATTACTATTGGCATGTCAGAGGGTTGGATTGACCCTCAGGCTTATTGGCTATGGGGTTTGGCCACATACACAAAGTTTATGAGCTGCTGTGCACGGGGCTTACCCCACTGAGTGGGATTCACCCCAGTAGGCTCTGGTGCCTGTTGGGACTAATCTTTGTATGTGCTGCTTGTGGGGCTAATTGGGCGGTGCTCTGCTGTGGTCTGAAGCCAGCCTCCAACTATGTTGGTTCTGGGGCCCCTTGGGAGAGGCTCCAGTGGAGGCCCAGGTCACCCTCTCTACCTATGACCAGCTGGGGACTACCTGGTAGGAGCTACAAAGCTATCTGTGGTTGTTTGCTGCCTGTGCCTGTGCTAAAGTTAGAAGCACATGGAAGAGGCCACACTGCAAACTAAGGACATCTGCCACCAGTACGGAGCGTGGGGTAGCTCTGCAAAAAGCCAGGACACCCTGAGGCCTGCTACCACCTGCCAGCTCCCTTAAGGTTCAGCCATTGATAAAGCTTCATGCCATATGCAAGTTGTATGAGACAGGGTCTTAGGGAATCACTAGAGTGGGAAGAGTTGTAGTCATCAGGTTAATGTAGACTGTGGTTTAGTCCCAGTGCTGAGCCTAGAGCTACTCAGCAAGTCTCAGAGGCCAGTTACTACCCACCTGGGACCCACAGAATCCAATAGTTTTCTAAGAAGGAGTACAAATTGGGCAGGGCTGGCTGCTCACCAGAAAGGGCCTCAGGTGTTGGGTGAGTTGAAGGGGTGGAGTCTCAGTGAGTCAGCAGAGTGGAGCAGCAGGGCTCACCAAACCAATCAGATTCAGATTTGGCCTATGGGGGCAGACTCAGCACAGGAGGAGAACCTCACACAGGGAAAATGCCAAATGTCCTCCCCTTGAAGCCACACACCTCAGTCTGCCTCCCCATATGTCTCCAGCACCTCCTGAGTCACCATCCCTCTGCCAGAGCTCAAGGTGAATGCCTGCAAGTGTGTGAGGCTGTGCACGGGCCATTTAAGAGGACGTCTGAGTTTCCCACAGCCTTCCGTCCCACCCAGATTGTCGGAATCCCCACTGTTTTTCACAGCAAATGTTGTGGGGGCTTCTCTTTCTGGCACCAGTGCTCAGGCTGGTGTCCCTTACTTTTCCAGGGGGAAGTTCTGTGGTGGAGAGATCCCTCCTGGTTCTCAACTGCCACCCAAAGTGTGGCGTTTCACATCTCCTCCCCTGTTACCAGTCTTGACGTGGCTTCTTCTTTAATCCTTAGTTATAAAAGTTCTGTTCAGCCAGACTTCAGATGGTTCTCCAGGTTGATTTTTCTAGAATTTAGTTGTAATTTTAATGTGTTCATGGAAGGAAGCAGGCACAGTGTTTATCTACTCCACGATATTGGATCTCCCAGAAGAATATCTTTTAAACTGCTCTTTTATCAACCCCACTTTCTTTACCAGAATATTCCTAGGTGATATTTACCATTCCTTAAACTCTTAGAAAAGAAAATGTTATAAACTGGTCAGACTTTATGATCACATTTTATTGGCACTGGCCCCACTACTTCCATTTCATTATAGTTCATCCGGAGTTTGCCAAAGATCACAACATTGTTAATCACTTAAGCTGCTTAGCACTGTGCTTTGCTTTTTTTTTTTTACCAGTTATCACTGAATTTTAATATGATCCAAATCTATTTCCGTGAATCCAAATTTAAGAAGAAGTCACCCATTTGAACACCCCACACACCTCACTACTTCTGTAACTTGGGCCTAGAGTAATTGGGTAGACTTCCTTTGGCCTTCAAGTTTATGTCACCGTAATTCTGCTTGCTGCATCACAAGGAAGAAATTGTGGGCTTCCTGAATTTGAGTAGATGGCCTTGAATTGTGTGCCAAGTATTTTGATATTGAGCTCAAGGAAGTACTTATATTAGCTGGCATATTTTGTTATTTAATAATGATTTTTAATAAAGAAGAGTAACATTGGAAATGAAAAATTATTGGTGTACAATTGGATTTAATGGCAGTACTATAATTTCATTTAATGTTGCTTGATAGAGGAAATAAGACCTTTTTTTTTTTTCAGGAGTAGATTTGGGCTCCTGTTCAAAGGATCATACATTATTTAGAACGATGTTTGTGTATGATAAGCTTTTAATCCTATTGTTCATAAAGTATACCTTTGCTGTGAATTTCTCTCCAAGATCTTCATACTTACAAAATGCAAATGAATCACTGAGGCTTCAGAAAGCATGCAGAATGATAAAATAGTTGAGTTATCTTGATTATGACCTTAAAGATTGGAGTAGGGCTTAGAAAGCCTTGTTTCTGCTTTAGTCAGTTTCAAGACCATCCACATAAATAGGAGAGTCAAC